TCTTTGATCACATTCCTAAGAATGGTGTTGCTGAGATATTAAGGAATTTCAATGTTCAGCTTTCAGATGAAATGTGGTTGAACCAATTCACATTTCCACCAGCAATGTATAAGAATTCCTAATTTTTCAGGTGCAAGTGGTGCACACCTGTAATCCAGGAACTCAAGACAGTGGTGCACTCTTGTAGTCCCAGGAACTCAGGAGGCTGAGACAATAAAACTGCAAAATGGATACCAGCCTGGGTAATTTAGCATGATCCTATCTCAAAAAATTATTTAAAGGACTGGGAGAATAGCGCAGTGATATAGTGTTCTTGGGTTCAAACCCTGGTATGGAAGAAGGAAAAAAAAAAAGAAAGAAATTCCTTCTAATTCACATCTTAACAAGCTATACTTCTTGTTTGACTTGATTTTGCTCAATGCACGTTTTCATTAATTTCCTGTCTCTTAAAACAAATTTACCCACTTGTCTTCATTTACTCTTTTAATTACTTTATATTCAATTTGTCAAGTTGGAAAAATCCAATTGGAATTAGTTTAGAAAATGCAAAACCAACAGATTAATTACAAAGTATTATTCTCATTATACTTTTAATTCCTCTCCACTCCAAGGATATGGCTTATTTCTCTTTTGATTCAGATCAAGATCTTCTGGTGACTTTATTTTTTTAATTTTTCTGCACTACTGGGGGTCAAATCCAGGGCTGCTACATCCTCAGCCCTTTTTAATTTTTATTTTGAGATAGGGTCTCACTAAATTGCTGAGGCTGGCATAAAATTCAAGATCCTCCTATACCAACCTCCCTAGTCACAAGCCTGCATCATCGTGCCCAGCAACTATTAAATCTATTATACTAACTTTTTTTTCTTTTTTGCAGTGCTGGGGATTGAACCCAGGGTCTTACGCATATTAGACAAGCACTCTACCACTACACTACATCCCCAGCCCTGCTTGCTTATATTTATCTTTATTTAACTGTGAAAAGTTTAAAAAAAAAAATTAAAAAGAGCAAGCAGACACATATAACAGCATTTTATGTTCATTATATAAACTAACACAAATAATAAAAAATAATTTTTAAGCCAGACACAGTGGCACACTTCTGCAATCCCAGTGATTCCAGAGGCTGAGGCAGGTCACAAATTCAAGGTCATTCTCAGCAATTTAGTTTAGTGAGACTGTTTCAAAAAAAAAAAAAACCGGGGGTGGGGGTAGGGATATATACCTGTAATGCCAGCAATTTAGGAGACTAAAGACAGTAGGATAGCAAATTTGAGGGCAGCCTCAGAAACTTGGCAAGGCCCTAAGCAACTTAGTGAGACTAAAAAGGACTGGGGATGTAGCTCCATGGTAAAGTTTCCTGGATTCAATCCCTAATACAAAAGAATTTTTTTTCTCCTTTCAGAAAACAAGTTGACTGAGTCCTTGTGTTTCTACAATTGCATTTTATTGTCATCACAGCTGAATATCAATTTGGTTAACAGAGAAGTCTATATTCAAAATCTAAATCCTTGAGAATTATATCAATATTTTTCCATCAAACAATGAAGGTGAATATTCATTCATAAAATAGCACGAGGCCATTCTGGACAACACTCAAGACACAGGGGGAGACAACAATGAATAAAAAGGCAACAAGAAAAACATCTCTGACCTGGTGGAGCCAAGAGTATAGCTATGAAGGAGGAATCAACAAATACATAATTATAGTATATAATACACCAAAAGGTAATATGTGCAAAATAAACAGGAGATAGGGCCAGCAAGATCTATATGGGGGTACAAAAAAGGTAGTTTGGGTCTCATGGCACCTTATGAGAAATGGGCAGGTTTCCCTGGAGGAATCCTAGTCTAAGTGCTAGCCTCTGCACCTTGGATTTCCTCCTTTTTCTGTATCTTGGCATCCTCATCTCCACTGGCCTGTTAGCCCTTTTTTTTTTTTTTTTTAATTTATTCTTTAGTTTTCGGCAGACACAACATCTTTATATGTGGTGCTGAGGATCCAACCCGGGCAGCACGCATGCCAGGCGAGCGCGCTACCGCTTGAGCCACATCCCCAGCCTTTTTTTTTTTTTTTTTGAGACAGGGTCTCACTAAGTTGTTTAGGGTCTTGCTAAATTGCTGAGGTTGGCCGCAAGCTTGCAATCCTCCTGAGTCAGCCTCCAGAGTTGCTGGGATTACAGGTGCACACCACTATGCCCAGCTAGGGCTTACTATTTAAGTACTGTACGTACTACAGTGGGGGAGGGAGAAGGGGTTGTTGCAGGGAAAGAGGTGTTAGGTGTGTAAATCCAGACACACTGATTTAAAATCCAGTACATAGCTTACTAATTTTGTTACTTTTCTTTTTTAGATGTTGATAGACCTTTATTTTATTCATTTATTTATATGCAGTGCTGGGAATCCAACCCAGTGTCTCAGACATGCTAGGCAAGGGTTCTACCACTGAGCCACAACCCCAGCCCTAATTTTGTTATTTTACGTAAATTACTAATCTCTGGGTGCCTTAGTTTCCTCCTCATCTGTAGAAATAATAAGAGAAAATTCTCATAGTTATCAGGAAGGTTAAACATTAAATGTAAAGTTCTTGGTCCTGTATCTAGCACAATGTTAGCTATATTTTTCTTACATATGTTCTTTCTTTTAATTTTTTTTTTTTAGTTGTAGATGGGACACAGTATCTTTATTGTTTATTTCTTTTTACATGGTGCTGAGGATTGAACCCAGTGCCTCACACATGCTAGGTTAAATGCTCTACCCCTGAGCCACAAACCTGATGTTCTCATCAGGGCTGAAATACTACTATTTGAGTCTTGGAGTCTCCTTTCCTCACAACTTGTGATAACTTCACTGCAATCCCTTTTTACATATCACTTAGAAATACCTTAAAAGTGAGGCCCAACAAATATCAAGATTTATCCAAGTTAGAGTTGTCACACATCCCAACAACTCTCTTGCTTCAGTGAGTCATATTACCTCAATTCTATTTCACAAATTAAAATTTCAGTTTGGTTTATAAAAAAACAACAACAACAAAAAAGCACTGAAATGAGCTGGGTTGTGGCCTAGTGATAGAGCACTTGCCAAGCATGTATGAGGCACTGGGTTGATTCTCAGCACCGCATATGAATAAAGTAAAGGTCCATCAACAATTAAAAATTTTTTAAAAAGAAAAGCACCAAAAGCTCAAGTTAAAACAAAGTTAAAGAGCATTCTCTGAGAGAGAAAGGTGAAAATCATAAATAATAATTAAGGATCCATAGTTTTTGAGGGTAAGCCTAAGAAACCATCTTTTAAAAGATTAACACCCCAGGCACTAGATGCGGTCAGAAAGACAAAGACATATCTGGTGTTTTCAGACTTTGTTTAGTCCCATGGATCTACAATTAGAAGAAAACGGTAGTGACAAAATTTTAATAAAATGATTATAGGTCAAAGGAAACTGTCACTGATTTTACATAACCATTTAATCTCTAAAACTCACCACCCCACTTTACTGAGACTCAGGAAATTTCCCAAGATCAAGTTAAAACTAGTAGAATCAATTTCCCTTAACTGGGAACTGTCAACAGCTTAAAGCTCTGAAGTTATTTTATTCTCATGCATTTAATCAAAACTCATTAAAGATTTGAGAAAATAAAAATAAGACCATCAAGTCAACCTTTACTACTTAGTCTGACATTCCAGAGTCTGCATGTGCACACTTTCAGATTCAAACACCCTGTTTACTATTAAATACTTAACAACCTTGCCCTCAAAGAGTCCGTCAGAAAAACACAACAGAACAGGAATGTTACAATTTGAATGTTACAGAACAGCCAATGTTGAAAATTAAGTAGCTTATCTAAAATGTTCTTGATCATGAGCTTTTATTACTATGATTAAAAGACCCTTTACCAATGTTGGGATAAAGAACAAAGGGAGGGAAATTGGAAATGATATTTTCATAATGAATCATTTTATCACATTATCAATCTTTCCAAACTCCAACTACTCAGTGTTGTAGGTTGTGGCTTTTTACTTGCTTAATAAAACTCAGGTATCATAAACATTTTCTAAAACAGTATTTTAACTAGAAGCAATGATCAAACAGGCAACTCGAGGGAGAAATCAGAGTGTCTGTAAGTAACTGGCAGTGCTGATCAGGAAAGGAGAGCTAGACTACGGAGAACAAAGGCTACCATTCCTAATGTATTTCACTACTGAAGCACAAACTAAAAACTAAACAAAAAGAACAAGCCTTTCAGGTTCAAGCATCGTACAACTTCTCTCAATTTTTATCCATCTCATTGGGGAACGTCAAGTAAACCATCCTGGAGTCCCTTGCCTATCTTCTCATTTCACTCTCTCTAGGGTTATTTCCCCACTTGAAGATAGAAAACACATGTTGTAAAATAAAGGCGAGAAACCTTCAGGGTCTGCAGCAATTTCTCATTTGATTGGCCCAAGTCAGAAATCGGATTCGGGAAGCCTCAAGCTCCGATTCCCACAAGTCGCTTCTGCCTCTGAGCAACTTCAACTCCAATTACCGCTAAGTCCAGCCAAGCCTCAGTGACCGCGGCGCGCTGGACAGGGCATTCCACTGCAGCTCGACCCTCGCTCCCATAATCCCTCCCCGCTCGGGCTGTCTTCACCTCCTACACCGCGGTGGAGGCCTCCCGGGCCACCCCGCGATCACCTACGCTCTGGGGAGAGCGTAGAGATGAGGGTACGTTCTGGAAGGCTCTGAGCACTTGGGGAGCCGGGCAGCTGCATGAGGGAGGAGGGGGCAGGGTCCGGGAGGGGGCGGGAGTCGGCGCCATCCATCAAACGCTCCGCGCTAGGAGATCTCGGAGTTGTAGCCGGGCCTCCACCGCAGCCCAGGAATCCTCCCTCGCACCCTGGGCCGGGTGGGTATGTGGGGTCCAAGCTCCCGAAGAGAAGTGATGAATCGCTGCCCGGATCCCCAGGGGACGTGAGGCAAGAGGAACAAAGCCGCGGCCACCCGGAGGCCCGCTTACCTGCCGTCAGAAGCTGCATGGCATGAGTGAAGGACGGGTCGAGCGAGTCCTTCTCAGCCATGAGTTCGGGCAGGTACTTGTTCTCTGGCTCCATCTTGACCGAGGCCGTGGCTGACGGGGGTAGCAGTGGGGTCGGCGCCGGCCCGCCCACTGTCGCGTCGGGACCTGTGGCCGAGGGAGGCAGCAGCGGTGGCGGCTGCGTGGCTGGCGAGGCCCGGGCGCCCCCTCGGGGCCCCCCTCCGCCTCCCCGGGACCGGTGAGGCAGCGGAGGCTGCCGAGACGGCGTCTGACGCACCGAGGGGTGGGCACCTGAGGGGTCCATAGAGCCGCTGCGGCCCGAGGACCGGGTCATGCGCGCGGCAGGATCGTCCCGGCGCTGCATCGGGGAGGATGTGCGAACGAGAGAGCGAGCAAGGAAGCGACGCGGCAGAGACCCGAGCGGCGGTTAGCAGGGGTGGAAGAGCAGGGGCGACAGCGACCGAAGCCGACCCGAGCGACCCAGCGAGAGAGCACCGGAAATGAGGCGGCGCGCGTGCGCAGCCGGCCACCGGCACCGCCCTTGGGTTTCTCCGCGAAGAACAAAGTCCCCAGTCGGGCCACGGCGCCTGCGCACCGCCACGGCGCCCAAAGACGTCCCCTCCCTGTTCCTCTTTTCCCTCTGAGCCCGCCGGGCCGGATCTTGGGGCGCGTGCGCGGGCGACGGCAGGTTTCGTTCGTTTTTTTCTTTTCCACGTGACTCGGCGCTAGCGGGACACGTGTCTCCTCCCCTTCTGGCTGGGTGCGCGGAGGGGGCGGAGGATGTGGAATGTCTTTGTCTGCGCGCGGGCCCGCGGAATGTGGGGCGGGAGACCTGTTACTCGCGGGCCACGCCTCCTCCAACGGCTGAGCCGCTGGGGACCCTGGGGGCAGACTGCAGGACCGAATGGGAGTCGGGGTGGAGTGGGGGAACCGGCACCGAAGCGAGGGAAGGAGAAAGTGACGCGGGGGTGGTGAGAAGGGGAAAGAGAGAGAACTGAGGCGGGAAGTGGCGAAGTGGGAAGAGACAGGGACCTGCGCAGGCAAAAGGGGAAGACTATGGGAGCTTCTGACGCAGGGATGAGTGGTAGGGATGGAGAAGGGAATGCTGGAGTGAGAAATCGGAGGCTGCCTCAGTGGGAAGACTTAAGGCCACTTATTGCAGGGCTTCAACGAAGAGGGAAGTTTACATGAGCGATGAGAACCCAAGAAGTCGTGTCCCAAGGCTTCCAGTATGTTAGGTTTTAAAACGTTAGGCATTGTTGGTCAGAGAAATCTTATTAGAGAAGTTTTTTAGTAGATCATCTAACATATTCTGTTGCTTTCTGCTGACTTAGTGTTTCTCCTCCGAAAAGGTGGATTCAAGGCCAGGTCCTTCAGGATAGCTGCATCATTAGGATGGCTCCTTCTACCACTGATGTGAACGTTAGTCTTCTGCCTCAGTTGGCCTTTCACAAACCATTCCAAATTTGCTGGAAGAGAGAGCTTTAACACTGCCCAAAAGGCCAAGATGCATAGTTTCCCAAGGTATTCTCACCCTGGGGTACTGTATGCAAGTGGAGCCTGGGTCTCTACCACCACCACCACCACCACCCGCCAAAAAATTCGGGGCCTTCCCCAACTTTCCCTTCCCTTCACAGAATTTTGTTTTCCCCAAACTAGTCACTTTATCCCTTCTCCTTTTGTATCTGATGAACCAACACGGATCCAATGAACCCACCCTTTTCAGGAATTCTGGAACCTGGAAATTGTGGACATTTGGATCTGAAACTTAGACCCCTTCAACTAGGGAACATTAAGGCCTGGCTATGATCTTCTTTGGGGTAGGGGGAAAAAATCAACAAATTACCCAAAGAAATAACAAAACAAATATCTGTATATATTATATATGTATAGTATATTATTTATATTATTACATAGTGTATATTGTGTTGTATGTAAATATTGTGTATGTTTTATGTTAAAAATTTCCTGATGTCGTGTTTGCTTTTGAGGTCCTTTAAGTGACCCTTGTCTCCAAGTCGTGGGGACTTACCCCTATAATCCAGGCTACTCAGGAGGTTGAGGCAGAAAGATCCCAATTGTGAGACCAACTTCATCAACTTAGACCATGTCTCTAAATTTAAAAAGGACTGGGAATGTAGCTCAGTGAGAAAACAGCCCTGGGTTCAATCCTCAGTACACAAACACAGCATACTCAGTGACCCTTGTCCTTAGGTAGTTTGAGGTCAAGTAGGAAAAATATGTTATTTCTGTGGCAATATATATATATATATATATATATATATATATTTTTTTTTTTTTTTTGGTGCTGGGGACCAAACCCAGGACCTTGTGCATGCAAGGCAAGCATTTTACCAACTGAGCTATATCCCCAGCCCACAACAATTTTTTTTAATATTTATTTTTTAGGTATAGATGGACATAACACAATGCCTTTATTTTTATGTGGTACTGAGGATCTAACCTGGATCCCATCCATGCTAGGCGAGCATTCTACCACTGAGCCACAATCCCAGCCCCCCACAACATTTTAATATAACCAAAATATAGGGTACCATCAGATTTCTAGAAATTTCATACAATTTGGGGATCACTTATATCAATAATATACCCATAAATATGTTAAAGGTCTAACATCATTTCTTATTTCCTTCCCATATTGTTTATCATATAAAATAAGCCTAATTTGTTTTCCTTTTACAAGGTGAGAGACCCAACTTTTGAGGTTTTCCAGGGGCTCAACTGGAAAATCCTAGAAGTTAATTTAAGGTCAAGCAAGCCCCCTTGGCACATACCTACAATCCCAGCTACTATTGAGACTGGGCAGGAAGGTCGCCAGCCTAGGCAAATAGGGAGACCCTATTTTAAAAATAAAAATTTTTAAAAAGGACTGGAAATGTAGTTCAGTGGTAGATCACCCCTAGGTTCAATCTGTGGTACCAAAACAAACAACAACAACAAAAATAGTTCTTTGACTATGAAAAGACTCAAGTAATCAAAGACATAATTTTTAAAAAAAAGGCACAAAGTCCAAGAAATTATCTTGATAAGTCACAGAATCTTTGTCTCCTAGGCCAACTAAGTGGCCTTTCACTATTTTCTATTAAGAGCAGATCGGTACTCCAAGAAAACCTTGTTTTAACAAAGGACCAAATTCTAGTTTTGTATCAGTGTATGTTTGATATTAATGTCAATTTTTAGAAAAACTTAATTCCTTTCTAATTTTAGCCAGCTTGACCACACACAAATTTTTTTTTCCTACAAGTTTCATCTTCCCCAAACCTTTTACAACTTTCTTGCCCACTTAGTTTTTGTTCTATACATCTTATTTTGGAACAGCTAGTCTTTCCACTTTAGGACAAAAGGTATTCTTTTTTTCCCTTAATGAAAACATACCTTGTATACCTCATAGCTTTGCTTAACAAACATGTCTTACTTTTCTTCCAAAAATAGGAATTTTGTAATAATTCTGGTTTTAATTGCCATATTTTTTTAGATGTTGATGTACTTTTATTTATTTATTTTTATGTGGTCTGAGGATCAAACCCAGTGCCTCACACATGCTAGGAAAGTGCTCTACCACTGGGTCAAAACCCTAGCCCTTAATTGCGTTAAAATATTAATTAGAAGTTTTCTTTGTTCTTCTTTGATGTTGGGGATTGAACCCATGATTACACTTTTGCTAAGCACATGCTCTACTACTGAGCTACACCCCTATCCCCTAGAATTTTTTTTACATTTTTAGTTGGACACAATACCTTTATTTATTTTTATGCAGGGCTGAAGATCGAACCCAGTGCCAGGCAAATGCTGTGCCACCACTAAGCTGAAACCCCAGCCCTAGAATTTTTAATTCTTAGTGACCTTAACTTCTAGTGAAAATCTAGGAAGTATACAATTTTGAACTGATTTATATCAGCATTTTGTAGAAGAGCACCATTTCATAATTTTTAGAAAGGTATTTCTTCATAAGACAATTTTTCATGTTTATTAAAAGACCCAAATACATTTAGATACTATATACCATATAAAAATAAGATGCACTTTAAATTTCCATTTGGCAATTAATGTTTCAGTATTTTGAGTAGAAATGACTCAGATGTTTTTAATGAATATTAGTTTAACATAACATGGCTTTAAGATTTCAAGTTACTGAAAAAGACTTTTGAAACTGTGACAAATTCATTTATAAACTTTTATCCTGTCTACTTTTACCTAGTTACTCATCCCTAACAATTATGCTTAAATTGCTCATTAAACAAAACTAGCTGCCACCCCAAAACATGTTTCCTTGATATATTGATTACCAAAAGGAAAACAGGCAAGGCTTTCTCAATTCCCCTTATCTGTCCAAACACAGATCCTTCAATAGGAAATCAGTTGTCATCAGTCCTCTTCCCAGGGTGTCCCAGCAATGAGGAGAAATCAACTTTTATCCCAGGAGAGGGGATTTCACCATACTCAGACCCTATCACCAACCATCCCCCAAGAATCATTTATACTGAGGATCTCTCTTCATCCTCTGACCATTATGTCTATTCCAGCAGGCAACTAAGTTAAATAAACAACCTTTGTTCTTTCTTTGACTGTCCTACCTGTTGATGGCCTTGGGTAGAGCCAAGATAAAAAGCCTAAGAGTGAAACCCACAGAGTTGGGTCATGTAATGCTCTCTCAGTGGACCTTGTTGCATGAACATTTTGAGTCACCCAATGTTAGCTACCCTGTGCCATGGTGACCTTATCCTTTCATGAGAGTATTATTGCTATTATTATTTTGGTGGTGAGTGCTCTTACAGATCTGAAGTGCCAGAGGCCTGAACCATGGCTCACAAATCAAATTGTAGCTTTGACTCTTAAATCCCCTTGACCAACTTAGCCTTGATTTTCCCCTAAGAAAATGAAACAAAGAGGATAGAACACAAAGTCCCTGAGGATTTCCAAAAGCCAGAGTTCACACTTTCTGCAGTAATTGCCATTTATTGCCAGTTTGTGCCTGACCCAGACACTAAGTGTCCTCTCTATTGAACCCATTCCTCTTTCTGTCTTGACTTCCACTCTTGCCAATAACTTGTCAGCAATTGCAAATACCAAAAGGTCATATACTGTCTCATGGCACAAACTAAACTTGGATTTGAAAGTCACAAAGATTGGGGGACTCAAGGAAAAAGGGCAAAGTCTGACCTAACAGGCACCTAATTTACGACCCCTAGGGTTCCAAGAAGATAAGGGACTGCAAAAGGGGTCAGTGGCACCTCTCTGGTGTTCCTCAAGGGTTCTCAGGAATTTGCCAGAAGTACATTTCAGGTCCCTTTTTTGGTTTGCCAGAACTGTGAAGACAAAACAAATTGGGTTTAGAATCTTAATTGGCTTTTATTTGTGATTCTAGATTCAGTCAACACATCCTGGAATGAGTGTTCCCCACAAAATAAATTTTTTATAATAATTGTAATGAAGACCATGAATGTGACAAATACCAAAGATAGGTGAAAATTAAGTGCTACTGGAGTTCAAAGCA